CACCGTCATCACCATCATCACCATCATCACCACCATCATCACCATCACCACGACGACCGTGACTGTGTTTGTCGTATTGGGATTCATCATCATCATCATCAGCAGCATCAGCAGCAGCATCATCAGCAGCAGCAGAATCAGCAGCATCATCAGCATCAGCAGCTTCAGCAGCAGCATCTCCATCCCGGCAGTGATGACGGCTGTGTGCGCGTGGGCCGGGCGAGTTCTCGGTCGCGCGCATCAAACGCGGCCCCTCGCGCCGCGCGGGGGGGGGGATGCGATTCCCTTTGATGGAGCGAGATTCGGGAGCTCTCAAACCCACACCTCCATTCCCCTCCCCTCCTCCCCCTCCTCTCCCCCTCGACTTCTTCCAAGGACTCAACCCTGCCAGTGGGAGGGCGGGAGGGGGAGGGTGAGAGAGGCACAGCAGAGGGAGGAGATAGCTTTGGGTGATGCTGGGGATGAGGGTTGGAGCATCCCGCATGGGGAGAGAGATACGGGATGGGGGTGGGGGAGGGAGGGTGAGGGATGGATGATGGGGGCTGTAGGTGCAGTGCACTGTGCATCACAACACCCCCCCCCCGTCACCCTCTCACCCCCATCCCGTGATCCCTTCAGGGCCAAATAAAAAAAATATGTGGAGTAGGGAGAGAGTGGGAGGGAGAGAGGAGGGAGCGAGGAATGGAGACGGGAGAGGGAGGGAGAGATTTTGGGAGGCGGTTCGGTTTGTGGTGGGGGCGCTGGGTAGTGGCGGGGCGGGAGAGCGACAGCGCAGCCGCCGCTTGTGCAGGCGGTGCAACTGCGCCGGGCCCCACGAGCCGGAGGGGGCCCCCACGCACCAAGGGGATACGGAAAAGATTGTCCCGGGGTGGGTGGGCGGGGGGTGCATTTTCTCTCTCTTAATCTGGGGCATGACACCAGTTCACAATGGCCTGCCCGCTCTGATGATTAACGCTGTGAAACGAAACAATCGCCGCTTATTGCAAGCGGTTCGAACCTGGTTAATGCCGCGGGTGTCTTCGCCGTGAATGCCACGAAACCGTCTCGTTCACGGCGGGCGTGCAAGATAACGCGACGTCGTTCTAAGAAGAGTCGGCCGTGTGTTGCTGGCGTCACGGCCCAAAAATTCACCCCAAAAGAAAGATTCAATTACTCGGCAAAAATCCGAAAAGCGTAAAGCAATCGCCCCACACGCCACCCCACCCCTCGCCTCCCAACTGCGACGCTTGGCAGGACGCTCCTGAGAAGGGCTCCTGAGACTCAGGCTTTCGTGGGTAAACAAAGCGGAATATTAATAATGATGATGATGACGACGACAGTCCTGTAATCGTGACAGTGCTGGGAATTTGACATCCATCTTAGAGCAGCTGGCACGCGCGTGACAACCAACGCCTGTCACGCGGATGACACCGTGGAGGGGAAAACACTGGAAATAATGATGATGATAAAGACATGAAACCATAGGAATGCCCTTTATGTGTTTATTTGCCTTCAGAGGCTCATAGATTCCCGCGATTCCGCGGGATAGGGATGTGCGTGAGTGACGGAGGTCATGACGATGGCGGTCGTGATGGCGGTAGCGACGAGAAGTTAAGCGCGAGGCTGAAAGCGAGTTGTCGTGACGGAGAGAGGGCGGCTGTTGTTTGGAGACAATCGCGGACGCCCCGACCGAGAGACGTGGTGGCAGATTCACTGCAGCTCGTGTCTGTGTGTGTGTCTGTGTGTGTGTGTAGGGTGTCTGTGTGTGTGTGTGTCTGTGAGTGTGGGGAGCGGTAGTGTAGCGGTTAGCGCGCTTCGCTATGAACCCGACCACCCGGGTTCGATTCCCGCTCACGGCCAACACCGGTGACGATTATCTGAACCGGTCCTGGGCCTCCCCTAGGTCGACTCAGCCTCAAATAAATACCAGGTGCAGTGTATAAACGTCGCCACTGGGGAGACAAAGGCGGTCGGGCGTGGTGCTGCTCACCCACCCCCTCGTGTACCGTTCCGGCCTTCATAGGTGCTCGCTAACAGCACTTTCCCCAACAGTATGTCTAGGCTATACGGGGGATCTTTGCCTTTGCAGTCGAGAGCGAGCGCGTGCAAGCACTTGTCGAGTAGTTGCCACCAAAACCAATGCTCGCCATTCGCCACTAAGTGACGGTGACGTCACCACGGCGCCTGTGCCAGGCCAGGTGCACTTTCAGGCCACGTGAAGTGTCGAAGGCTCGCTGACAGGAGGTTTCGGGACAGACCGAGGTGCCACGGGTTGGCTGACTGAGATAGCTGGTAGATGCCAACCTGCTGTATTTTAGCCGCCCGGCGCTCCGCTCGTTGTTGCTTGAGGGCGACTGCCTCCAACTGTCCAGCAGCGACCTTCACGAGCCTCCTCCACAGCGGCCGATCCTGACACCGTTGGTACCAGTTATCGCCAAGTCCACTCAGCTCCACATTCTCCTGTACCGCATCAGGCCATCTATGCTCCATCCCATGTCGTGCCCGTTTAGCCCCCTCTATTTGGCCAACCAGAAGCTGCTTGGGCATGCAGTGGCTGGGCATGCGGTCTACATGACCCAGCCAACGCAGCCTGCCTGCCAGACGAACTCACTGATGGGAATGTGATCTTCCAAGGATTTGTGAGCTGCTCACACAATCCAGCCTGGTTAAACCCAGGATGGATCGTAGGCATACCAGCCTGAATGTTTCTAACCAGCGCAGATGTTCCATTAGAGGGATCAACGTTTCAGAAGCATAGGGAAGGGAGGGCATGACTGTGGCCGAGAAGATCCGAAGCTTCGTGCGGATCCACACACCAGGTAGTTTCCACACAGCATTGCGCAGCCGATGAAAATATAATGCCGGCTGACTGATTCGGAGTGAGACCTCAGCTGTCAAACCGGACCTGGTCATGAGCACACTGCCCAGGTATGGGAAACTCTCCACTCTCTCCACAACTGCTCCATCACTAATGGGGAGCTGAGGTGGTGGAGTGTTTGGTGGCACAAAATACCCAGGCAGGTTGCCACCACCACCTTGCACGCGTGATGCTCTGCGGGGAGAGATGACAGCGCAGCGTAACAAAATAATCCTCCTCTTCACCGTGAAAGTTTAAAGGCAGTCGCTGGATCGGCTCGTCACTCGGATCAACTTTGCGTCGCTCGCACCAATTTTGCTAAAAATAAGTAATATTAAAAAATACTTTTAAAAAAACACGCTTTAATGAAATGTACCGTACGAGTAATGGCAGAACTCCACGACTCCAGGAAGTGGCCCCGAAGCTTTCCATAGCATAAGGGGCAGTGGTGATTTACAGCCAACGTCAGTTGAGCGTGGACAATTAGACCCAAGCTGAAACATAACATGTAAAAAAGATTGTTTAAAATATATATGCTATTTTTAATGACAGAATATAGTATTGTCATCAGTATGACATACGTATACCAAGTTTGCAGTTGATACCACATTGGGAAGTGGGTAAAAACTGAGTTACAAGATTTGAGGATACGACAACAACAACAACAGACAGTGAGTTAAATAAAAGCGTGGAAAAACTTCATTCGGTTTTCTTCCCACGCAATTCTTTGCTTTTTGTTTTCTCTCTCCCGATTTCATCCCGAGCGTGATAGCCGTGTGGTTGGCTGTACGGCGAAAATATATATAAAACTGTTGTACTGTAATTCTATGACGCCACTAATACGCTCCCCGCGTTTGCAAAACCCGCACTGACTTGCTGCGTGGGGAGCTATGGTGACATGACCCCCATGACCCGGGCGGCCTGACGGAATGCCCTCATTTATAAAGTGGGCTGGCAGGTTGGTGGAAGGGGGGGGGGCGTACACGCACGGATACCTCGAGACACCAACCAGGCACACGCGTGCACCCCACCGCGCACAGCCCACACATTCCGCGTCTCATCATCAACATCATCAGTGGCCGGGTTTTGCTTGAACCCGTGATGCTAACCTGCCGGGCGTTTATCGACAAGGGCCCTCTGCGTTCGACATGGGTCCTGCCTAGGTTGGCACAAAACGATGTAAATGCGCCACACAGAATCATCCTTTTTACTTCGCTGTGGCGAATTTCACGACGTGAATATGCAGACACCAAGCGCCTTGGCTTTTCATTGCAGCAGAGGGCTCCATACCACAGGGGGCAGTAGGGAGGTTTTAGTTTGGGGGAGCGGGGCGAGGGTTGCGAGTAGGGGGCATCCCCCCCCCCCCATCCGAATATCTACACAACACAATATTGCGGTGCTCATCTCCTGTTTACAGCCCTGAGCCAGTAGTGGGGGATTCCACATTCCTATGGCGGGGGCGAGTCCATCCATGGTGCACTCACTTTTGACATTGTATGACGAGTTATTCATAAAAAAAAATCATGGAGATGGTGCCACGTGTGTACATAGCAACAGCATCGCGGTAGCCACGCTGCTCCTGCTGCTGCTGCACGTAGCTGCCGCTGCTGATGCTGCACGTAGCTGCTGCTGCACGTAGCTGCCGCTGCTGTTGCTGCACGTAGCTGCTGCTGCTGCTGCACGTAGCTGCCGCCTGCGATTCACCGCGGTGGAGGCTGTCGCGAGGGTTGATGGCGCACCGACGGCGTGAAACTCCCTTCCCGTGGGCGCCGAGCAGGAGCCGTACCTTGGCTCGCCAGGAGAACGCGGCACGGCAACATGCGAACTCCACGTTATTGCCGCCTGTACGGTGTTCTCCGGGTGCTCCGGTTTCCTCCGACATGTAAACACTCAGGAATTGGCCGATAACATCTTACTATACAGAGGGCCGCAGAGCTTGGGTGGGAATTTGGCACCGGCTGCTGCTGCCTTCCACGCTCGTACGTGGCTCCTCCTCCTCGCGCCTCTGAGTCGTCCCCTCCCTTCGGAGAGCCTAGGAGCGAACGCCGGCAGCGAGACTCGTTGGTTTTTTGTCGACGTTGGTGGGACGTTAGTGGACCATTTGATGACGTTGGCGTCGGTCTGCGTGTTTTGTTTGTGCGTCCCCCCCCTACCCCCCAACCAGCTGGGAGACGGCACGGTGGCGGACGGCGCGAGCCTGAGACGCGTGGCCGTGGTGGAGGACTTCTACGACATCATCTACTCGATCCACGTGGAGACGGCCGGGGGCAACGAGCGAGCGGTCAAACACGCCGGGCAGAAGCGTACCTACAAGGCGGTGAGCGCTCCCCCGTGCCTCCCCCCCCCCACCTCGTGCCCCCCCCCGTGCCCCATCGTGCCCCCGAGGGCTGGCACCTCACTGAGCCCGGCTCCATCAACAACTGTGCAGTTGTTCCTGCAGTGGAGTACAACGCAACGCGAACACCATCAAATCAATTCCTGCCGCCCGAAACGCTGATGACAATTTTTGGGCTTGTGCGGTGTCGAACCCAGACAGGCGGCACCCCCCCCCCGCCACCGAGGAGTGCCGAGAGGGAGGAGGCAGACGTGGGGGGGGGGGGGGGTCAGCAAGAGCAGTCGGCTCTCCGTTCAGACATTCGTAGAGTTCGCTCTGTGTGTTACAGACCGTTTTTTACTTTTAATTTCTCACTGTGAACCCGGCGATTTCAGTTGGATTTCTGGCCACGGCTATAACATCAGTGGCACGTCAGGGAACCGGTTCGGCACTTGTCCACCCCTTCACCAACACGCGCTGACCAGCGTGGTAAAGTCTGGTCAAAGTGAACCCCCCTCCCCACCATGGCACCTAGGGGACGCCTTCACCCTTTGGTAGATTGAGAGTTATTTGATTGAATAATTGGTGGATAATCCCTCTCGCTCAGTACTCTTGGTAAGAAGAACGATTTGGCTCGTTTGAAATATTTAGCTGGGCGCATCGGCGGGCTCAGCTGCTTTTAGTTTTATATGTTTATTTTTTTAAATCCGCTTTAGCTGTGACCTTCGTCGAGAGTGATGTTGTATTCACGGAGCTGCGCGCTCTCATTAGCATGCTTGCGAGGCCTTTCGTTCCTCGGGGCGGGCGTGATTATAAGCCACGAGTTGATGATGACGACGACGACGATGATGATGCACGCTCCGTCAAAGTTGAAATGCGCCCGGTCGAGAGGATGGTGACCAAGGGAGGGGAGTTCAGCGAGACACCCAACCCCGTGCAGGCGTCACCACTCCCTCCATTGTCTCTGCCCCCCCCCCCCCCCCGATCTTCCTCTTCACAAATAATCGCCACCGTTGTCACCGACCGTCAATTACCGCAATTGAAATCAGCATCTTAAAACCCCCCAAGGCAATTACGACATTCTTGCTGTGTGCCCCTTTAATTTAATATACCGGGTGGGCTGGCGGGGTGGGGGGGAGAGTGAAGGGGGTGAGAGGTGCACTGAGGTGCGCCAATACTTGACTGCGTGATTTAACATTAATTCGTGCCACGAATTAACGCCCAAATTTAACTCAGCAGCCATCTGGGCATTTAAAATTCGCCTGCTCACACTCACAACCCAAAACTCCATGAGCGTGACGCCTCGAGTCACAATTCGAAGCCTGTCAGAGGCGGTGAGGCAGAAAGGCCCCCCCCCCCATCCCGTAAGAACGTTTCTCTTAGGAAGGCCGGGTGGCTCAGAGGTCAGAGCTGGCTGCGCTGAGATTTTGGATTCGGATCCAGGCAGCATCGGCCCTCATCCAGCAGCGGATCGATAAAGGGGCCGTACGAGTAAACGCAGCCGGAGGTAGGCGCATGCACAAAATAAAACGAACCAGGAAGCTGCCCACCTCCCACCCTCTGCTGCCGAGGCATCTCTCGCTCCCCCCATCGCCGCCTCCCCTGTTGGGGCGACACGTGGGAGAGTTGATTTAACTGGCAAATTCAGAGTCCAACGCTCCCCCGGCGTCTGCTCCATCACTCGTCTCCAGTGCCCCTTGCGCAGCGAGTGAGCTGGAAGGGAATCGGTGGCGTCTTCTTTCGGAGCCAGACGTGCAATGTGTTCACTCTTCCCGCTCCACCACCACCACCATCACCACCACAAAAAAGACAAAAATCCCCCGTATAGCCTTAACAGACTGTAGGGGCAAGTGCTGTTAGCGGGCACCTATGAAGGCCGGAACGGTACACGAGGGGGTGGGTGGCCAGCACCACACCCGACCGCCTTTGTCTCCCCAGTGGCGATGTTTACACACTGCACCAGGTACTGATTTGAGGCTGAGTCGACCTAGAGGAGGCCCAGGACTGGTTCAGATAATCGTCACTGGTGTTGGCCGTGAACGGGAATCGAATTTGGGTCGCCAGGTTGGTAGTGCAGGGCGCTAACCGCTACACTACCGCTCACAACCACCACCTCCACCTCGCACTCTCATTGCCACTGCGACTGAGAGGGCCACGCTTGCGATGCTATTGACAGCCAGCGCGCCCCTTATTCACAAACAGCCCATCTGCCAGGAATACCGACACCATCCCCAGCAGATGCCCTCGGCACTTGGTAGCCCTGGCCCAGCGAGCACGTGGGACCTGCTGCAGTTGCACCGCTTGCACACTCAATAGTTTTGCCTCTGCTTGGAGGCAGGAGGAGGTGCTGGCGGGGGGGGGGTTACCAAAACGAAAAAGAAATCAGCTGAACGCGTAGACTTAAAAATCCATGTTCTTTTGTATGGAGGCCGAGGCCGACCCAGGAGGACTGGGATTGATGACGCTGCTGCTGCTTGAACAGGGCTCAGCGTGGCACAACTCCTCGCAAGAGCTGCCGAGGGCCCGAGCCCTGTGGCGATGAGTAGATCATCTCGCGGCCAAACCCCTCGGATGGAGGGAGGATCGGAAAGGCAGGGCTCCTGTGTTCGCGTGCTGCGAGTCTGTCGGACGAGATTTGCGTGATATTGAACGCACGCGCGCGCGCGCACGCACGCGGGCACTATCTCTGTAGATTCAGGCTAATGGAAAGTTAATTATTCACACCTGCAGAGGCACGTTTCATTACCTGGCACGCGATTAAAACATTTCAGGATTGTTATTTCTGCTGTGCCTCGCCGCTCGTTTTTTCGAGCGCTTGGGTTCGCAGTCGCATCGCTCCGTCTCCCTCCGCTTGCTCGCCCCCCCCTCCTCATCCTCCTCCTCCGTGCCTCTGCAGCAAAAACACACGCGGCCTCTCAAAGTCATCGCAGCCTGCGCCTCTGTGTGCTCATCAGTATTTCGGCGGTGGCGGTGGTGGTGGTGGTGGACGCAGCGTTGTAAAACTCCACAATTCCCATTTTAGTTACCAGTCCATCCAGATGACGATTGCGGTTGACTTCTCACGAAGCACAGCGGCTTCACGGTGTCGTTTCGCATTTAAGGCGCCCTGGAGAGATGGCAGGGCAGGAGGCATCTCCAGCGAGGATTTGCTCTCGACAGCGGAAAATTCTGATACACACGCGGGTCATGACGAAGCACAATCGTACACTGGATTACAGTCCCCTGTCAGTCCACTGCTATATTTCCACCTCTCCCACGCCTTTATTTCATTTGATCAGCTGAGGCCCACTGAGCAATGTCGCTTTTTCAGATGGGGCCTGGCCACACATAATAGCTCGACGAAGTGGCTTATCACGTGGAAATGTTTAGTGGCCAAATACTCTAAACGCACCGTTTCCAAATAATTACAGGTTCATATTCTTTGAGTCTTTCGGTAAAGTCACGTAGAACAAAAACATGAACACGTGACTTTACCGAAAGACCCAAAGAATATGAATTCCTGCAGTCACGAAAGCTTAAAATCAAAATTCCAGGTTTCAGCGTAGAATTATTTCACTGCCCTCTGCTTCGAATTATTTCACCTGGAATTGTTTCTGCTCTTACCGAGTGGTCCTACGCACACTCTCCGCTCTTCTCTCGGAGATAAAATCGAGCGGGGCTCATGGCCAGACACGCGAGAGGCGCTGGACGTTGGGAGCTAAATTTGCATTAAAAAACAAAATCCCCCTCGGGTTTTTTTTTAAGCGCGTGGGAAAGTAGCTCCGTCCACCGTTCGTGTACAGCATCTTGACACACGAGCACGTGCAAGTAGATGCCGTCTGTGTGAATCCCGATCGTTCTGCGTGTTTTGTTTATTGGCGTGTGCGATGATTGATTGTGCCACGCCAACGCTCGTTGTGAGCCCGGCCGTTAGCATAGTCGAGACATTTTGAACACACACGCAACTTAACAATAAAAGCACTCAATGTGAAAAAATAAATAAAACCTTGGACCATTAACGGCATTATTTTGTATTAATTCACTGACATCTCGCGAGCTGTGGAGAGATGCACTTCCCTGCACTACAGCCCCACACTCCGACCGTGCGCCCTATAAATAATCTCCCCTCCTCCCTTCTCGACCCATGCCCTCCTCCCACCATCTCCACCGCTGGTGATATCCAGCCAGGCCACGGGTCGCCTGCAGCTGGGCCAGAGCTCAGCTGGCTAGCCCGCTCTCTAATGATTGTGGCGCGTGCGTGTGCGCGCGTGTGCGTGCGTGTGCGCGCGTGTGCACTCTCACGCTCTCTCTAAATGGACGAACGTATATTTGTTCCACAGCCCAGACAGAAGCAGTGCCGGTCGGGGAATTGATCTGCGAGCACCTATTTGGGGTTGGCACGTTGCAGCACACCCGGCCACCTTTGTCTCCCCAGTGCGAATGACGACAACGTATCATCACCGCGCCAGATGCGGATCAGAGCCAATCTACGTTTACTTCTATCCTGGCCTTTTATCGATCGACTGCTGCATGAAGGCCTCCCCATGCCCGCTGCAGCTCGCGGGGTTTACTTGACCATACTTCACCACCATGGTCAGTGTGGATTGTACTGCGCAGTGATGGATATTGCTGCACTCTGCCCTCTGCTGCCCGCAAAAGAAGCCCCGCGGATCACTATGGCAACCTGATTGTGTGAAGGGGTCGCTCGTCCTGGAGTGCGCGTGGACACAAATCGAACCCGTTCTCCACGCAGCTCAACGCGCTCAGTGACAGCGTGGCCTTGAACGGTGAATATGTAATAGGCGACGTTTCAGGCAATGTGCCCTCTTCAACATCGACAAAGATTCCCCCTTCAGTCTTAATAGGCTTTTGAGGCATGAGCTGTCAGCGAGCACCTATTAAGCTCGGAACGGCACACGGTGGGGTTGGGTGGCTACCCCCACACACACACAAAGACAAAGATCCCCCGCATTGTCTCGACAGACTGTCGGGGCAAGTGCTGCTAGAGGCGAGCACACGCGCGC